ACCCATGTCTCCCCACATGCCTGGCCATAGTGAACCCTCTGTCCCCCTGTGGGGGCCTGCGGGGAGCTGCACCATGAACACCCGAGCACCCTGCGTGCTGGCTACGGGCACCGAAGGCAGCTGTGTCCACCCCCAGCAGGGGAGGGAGCTCGGCACACGTGCATCTCTTGGATGCACGGCCTCAGACCTTCACAGGATCAGGACGGGAGGTCCAGGGCCTGCCACTGAAAAGGGTGTTGGAAAGGGCCAGCGACCTCCCCGGCCCCCGAGAGCTATGGGTGCCCCACACAGGCATGCGACACGGCACAGCTCGCCCTGCGGCCTGGGCTGCAGTACATAGGCCCGTGGGCACCACGCAGCCGGAACCTGCACCCACTCCAAGTGCACCATGTGTGTCCTGTGTGGGGATGGCAGGTGTTCGAGACCATAGAGGGACGTGAGAGTCAGGCAGGTCTGGTGCGGTGCAGGAGGTGTCCGTGGTGGGGTGCATGGAGCCCCGACCCGACTCTGGCGCAGACGACCCGTGCCTGTGCGTCCACCCGCGCCGCCTGGGGCCCTCGCCCCAGAGCCCCCTCTGAGCGGCTGAGTACTCGCCCAGGGCCCAGGCAGTGTTTACCCTGAAGTCAGTGCCGCCTCAGGGTCCGTCAATTGGAACGGCGGTGGCGGCCACTAGTTCCCCATCGCTACCCGTTGCTCTCATAACAGACACAGACAGCACGTCACACTCACTCCCCACTCCCAGACGCCAGGCCTGGTGGCTGCAAGGATACATGCCCAGATGTGAGAGCGCACGCCGGCTCAACTGCCTGGGCGCTCCCTGCCGCGCTTCTGGGCGCACTGTGGCCACGCGCTGTGGGAGCCAGGATGTCACCAGCACGTGCTAAGGACTGGGCAGTGCACAGTGGTCACTGTGGTTCCAGCAGAAAGGAACAAGGCAGGACAGGGGCTGGCAGTCACTGCAAACTCACCAGGCCTCCGGAGCCCTGGTGGGAGCGGCCAACACGCCCAGCTCCCCGTTCCCCTCGCCGGCCCTTAACTTGGTTGTTAAAAATCATCAAATAAAAACTGCTTTAAAGCCAGACCAGATAAATGAACAAAATAGATTGAAACAAAGCAGTGGTTCTCAACCTTCCTAATGCTGGGACCCTTTAATACAGTTCCTCATGTTGTGGTGACCCCCAACCATAAAATTATTTTCGTTGCTACTCCATAACTGTAATTTTGCTACTGTTATGAATCGTAATGTAAATATCTGATATGCAGGATGTATTTTCAGGGGTCGAGACCCACTGGTTGAGAACTACTGAAAGGGAAAGGTTCAGGAACACCTTGGTTAATTTTTCTTTGTGTGTGTGTGTGTTTACTTGAAAGTATCATCATGTAAATATACTTTAAACATTTTTAGAAGGTTGTACAAGTACATCCTTAAGAAGCTGTCCAACACGTGGTGAAAGACTGAGCGGCGGACACACAGCGCAGCAGGTCTGACACGACTGGCACCGTGACGCAGCAATGACCCCTCCGGGCAGGAGACACGGCTGACAGGTGTGCAGTGGCCTGTGGCCACTGTACCTGAAAGCATCACACATGAATAATTCTTGTAAAAACATGCACAGGCCTTCTGAATGCAGCGGAGACTGGGGCGATGACACACCCCTGAGCTTAGGCAGCCAGGCCTGGAGCGAGGCTTGGCTGGCGCACCGCTCCGCTGTCCTGCCTCCCTCGCCCACTCGCTGTGAGCGTGGAGCCTGCAGCCTGGCAGCAGCCTTTTCTGCTCCACCAAGCAACACTCATGCGTGCACATGCACACACATGCACAGGAGTCCCCAGGCACCTGGAGCCACCAGGCACCACGGAGTCCTGTCTGCAGTTCCTGCACTGGGAGGCGGGGGTGAAGGGTCAGCCTTGGTCTCCACTCCTGCTGGGGCAGTTTCCAGGCCAAGTGGCTCTGAGCCTTCCTGCCCCACTGGCTGCCTTTCATGTGCTAACCACCTGGGCGTGGCACCTCCCACAGTGCGGGCCTCACCTAAAGGCAGCGCTGACTGGGAGTTTATATAGTATTTCCTTTTTTTCTTTATTGATTAAGGTATTACATATGTGTCCTTAACCCCCCATTGCCCCCTGACCCCTCCCACCCATGCCCTCACCCCCTGCTGTCTGTGTCCATTGGTTAGGCTTATATGCATGCATACAAGTCCTTTGGTTGATCTCTCCCCTTTACCCCCACCCTCCCCTGCCTTCCCTCTGAGGTTTGACAGTCTGACCTATGCTTCTCTGTATCTGGACCTGTTTTTGTTCATCAGTTTATGTTGTTCATTATAATCCACAAATGAGTGAGAGCATGTGATATTTATTTTTCTCTGACTGGCTTATTTCGCTTAGCATAATGCTCTACATCAAAATAAAAAGCTTCTGCACAGCAAAAGAAACCATCAGCAAAACAACAAGAAAGCCCACTGCATGGGAGAACATATTTGCCAATGTTATCTCCAATTAAGGGTTTAACCTCCAGCATTTACAGGGAACTCATACAACTTAACAAAAGGAAGATAAACAACCCAATCAAAAAATGGGCAATGAATCTAAATAGATATTTTTCGAAAGAGGACATACAGAAAGCCAAGAGACATATGAAAACATGCTCAAAGTCACTGATCTATCAGAGAGATGCAAATCAAAACAACAATGAGGTACCATCTCACACCTGTCAGAATGGCTATCATCAACAAATCAACAAATGACAAGTGCTGGAGAGGATGCGGAGAAAAAGGAACCCTCCTGCACTGCTGGTGGGAATGCAGACTGGTGCAGCCACTGTGGAGAACAGTATGGAGTTTCCTCAAAAAACTAAAAGTGGAACTTCCACTTGACCCAGTGATCCCACTTCTAGGAATATATCCCAAGAAACTAGAAACACCAATCAGAAAGGATATTTGCATTCCTATGTTCATAGCAGCACAATTTATAATAGCTATGATTTGGAAACAGCCTAAGTGCCCATCAGCAGATGACTAGATTAGAAAACTGTGGTACATCTACACAATGGAATACTATGCTGCTGTAAAAAAGAAGGAATTCTTACCATTTGCAATAGCATGGATGGACCTGGAGAACATTATATAGTACTAGAGTTCCGGTGCACGAAATTCATGCAAGTGTGTGTGGGGGGGTGTCCCTCAGCCCGGCCTACACCCTCTCCAATCTGGGACACCTTGGGGGTAGTCTGACTGCTGGTTTAGGCCCGATTCCACAGGCAGTCAGACATCCCTCTCACAATCCGGGACTACTGGCTCCTAACTGCTCGCCTGCCTACCTGCCTGATTGCCCCTAACCGATCCCCTGCCAGCCTGATTGACGCCTAACTGCTCCCCTGCTGGCCCTATCACCCCCAACTGCCCTCCCCTACTGCCCTGATTGCCCCTAACTACCTTCCCCTGCTTGCCTGATCACCCACAACTGCCCTCCCCTACTGCCCTGATTACCCCTAACTGCCCTCCCCTGCCTGCCTGATCACCCACAACTGCCCTCCCCTGTCAGCCATCTTGTTGTGGCCATCTTGTGATGACGTCGCACGTGACGCCACCTAGGCTTTTATTATATCGGATTTCTACATGCCATGGGCGAATTCTCATCACTGAAGGAGTAAAGCAGGCACACTGCTACCTTGCAGACTTTTCTCAGGCTACACAGTGTAATGCAACGTGAAGAAAACGTCTCTTCAAGGAAATGATTTCCCCAAATTGGGACCCATGTCTACAGAATGAGAAGCTGGTAAAGGGTCTTTTTAAAACCCTCTCAGCCGGCACACAGCTGCGGCGTCTGCGCCTTCTCCCTGCTCTGCTCTGGTCCATGCTGTGTGCACAGAGCTGCCAGCCCTGTCAGCAAACAATGTCCTCTCTGTCAGAACAGAGAAGGAGCCAGCCGCATGGCAGAACCCCCTCCGACGTCCCCCCTCCCCCCAGAAAGGACAGCCAGGCTGGGAAGGACCCCCCTCTGAACTCCCTTCCAGCAAGCGAGGGACCCAGTCGTGGCAACGGTATGTCAACTGCCAATCAGGGAGAGCTGACAAGTTTCCTTTCTTTTAAACTGGAGCATATATTTCTGCGTGTGTGTGTGTGTGTGTGTGTGTGTGTGCTCGCACACGCGCGTGTGTCCGGATAGCTTTATCAGGAGGAAGGAGGCGTTTCATCAGATATAATTCAGGACTGAGCAAAAGCAGCTTTTAGCTCCAGACGGAGCTGCCCCAGGGGACGTCACAGAAATGACACAGCAATTTGTGCGAGAATATTGGCAGCTAATTCAGGATTGCTAGAGCTGACTCTGAACCCAGCTGCTTCTGTCCAGCCTGTATTCCTGCTGAGCTCCCGATCCATAAAGGAAGCGCCTGCAGTTACTGCTCCAAAGGTACCGTGTGACGCTCTCAGGCTTCTCTTTGTGCATCTGCCTGTCTGTCGTCTGACACACACCCACACACACCTCCCCCTCCCCCCAAAAGAGGCATTAAAACATGATTTTCCAAACCATACACTGCACGGAGCAATTGTTAGTGACCAACGAAAGGTTTTCCTTAAAGAAGAGCATGGATGGCTCACGTCTGTCAGATTCGCACGTCTTATTGGTGTAAAACACCAGGGTGTGCGTTTTCCCCCCTTGTGATGCGACTACAGTCTGCCTTCTATCTTAACCTCTGGAGGGAATCGCCGACTCTTGGCTCATAAAAGACGAAGTGCTATTTTTGTAGTCAAACCGCACTGGCGTTTGTTTGCATGGATGTCTAAGAAACGTCCCCGCTCCTTTTCCCACACAGGGTAAGCCCAGCCAGCGAGCGCCCAGATTCTGAGGGCCTCTCCTGGTAACAGGGCCGCCCGCCGGGCCAGCCGCTCCGTGTTCCTCCTCTCTCCCCCCACGCGGGCTCCTCGCAGACTAAACAACGGGCCTTTGTGCGTCCCCCTGCGACCGGCCAACTCTAACGGCGTGCCTGGTACAAGGGTGGTGTTTACCTTGGAGAAAACTGTCCTTGCAACCCTTCCCAGCGCTGGCAGTGCCGTGGCTCTGAAATGCTGCGAGAGCTCCCTCCTCCTTGCTGCCTGCAACCGAAGAGAGAGAGAGAGAGAGAGTGAGGGAAAGGCAGGTGGCTAGGGAAGGGGACGACTCTTGTCCTGTTCACTGTAAATCCATGCCAACGCTGGGCTTTCTATTCCTTCCTGCGAAGCGAGGAAAAGCTACCGAGAGGGGTGAGCAAGTCAAAAGTCATTTCCAAAACAACAGCCACGTCTGTCTCCTCAAATACACATCCACCACTCGCTCCCTCCACGTCTCCTAGTTCCCGGGCAGAAGCCTCTGTGCTCCTGTAGTAACATCACACTCAAGTCACTTATCTGAGCCCGGAGAGGAGGCTTTATGCTTTGGGGGAAGGCGAGTTGTGCTTTTGGCAAAATGTCTTATTAAAAGGCGCGTGTCGGTGCAGCATGAGCGGTGGCACCCGAGGGACACGCAGACCTCTTAGTCCCGAGTCGTTCCTCCACGCTCCCACCGAGGACACGGGGAAGAGGCGACAGGTGGAGGCACCCAGGGATGCTTCCTTCACTGCCCTCCCGGCTCATCGGGCCCTCAGTCCACCTGCCACTGCGGCCCTGCTCCGTTCCCGGCGCCCAGCCTGTCCTCCGAGCCCCTCTCCTCTCCAGCTCTCAGCCTGTCTTCCAGCAAACACCTGGCATGGCACCTGTGTTTCAGGTAAGACGCCATGATAGGTGCCGAGGGAGGGAGGCAGGGAGGGGGTGGAATGAATGAATGAATGTGTTTATATTCTAGGAGCCTCTGGCTACTGACTCAGGCTTAGAACTTCTCAATCATTTTAGCAGACCGAGCTGCAACCCCTGAGTCACAATATCAAACACTGAGCCGTCTGGGTGCGCACCTACAGCGCGCTTGTCCCGGGACCGCAGGTGGCCATGGACCGCGCGGCCCGGCCTCCCCCGTGCCGCAGAGACCGCGTGGTCCTGCGACTCTGCTGCTTCCTGACAGCTACCACATAAGGGACAACTGCCTTCTGTGGCCAACGCCATCAGCTACCTCGTTCTTTTCTTTTTGTTTTAATGCATCTAAAATACCAGAACAAGACAGCTCCGGTCCTCCACCATCAGCTATGCTCACTCAGAGGGAGGGTCCTCACCAGCTCTCGGTGTGAAGAGCCTGCCAGACACAGACCTTCCAAGGCGTCCTTCA